AATAGAAATCGAGTGATTCGACAGCAGATCCAGCTGGATGAGGTGCAGAAGCTGTTCATGTTGGGGCAAAGACTAGGGGTTAAGTGTCAACAAAATGAGGAAGAAGTGTTGTCCAGGTTGGTCACACTAGAAGAAGGAGAGGTGGCGAACTTCAAGGAGGCATAACACGATGGATCTGTGTGGCTGCCAGCTGGTGAGGTATGGAAGTTACTTATGAAGGTTATTTCATTTAATGTTAGGGGTTTGGGTAGTGTGGTGAAGAGAAAAGAGATTTCTAAGTTACTAAGAAAGGAGAATCCAGATTTCTTGTTTATTCAGGAAACAAAGCTTGAACAAATTGAGACATTTGTGTGTCGGTTGGTGTGGAACTCAAATGATTTTAAATGGGTGATGCAAAAATCAAATGGTACTTTGGGTGGTTTGCTGTGTATATGGAATAAGAGGAATTTTGTAAAACGAAGGGTAGTTGAAGGTCAAGGTTTCATCGGGATTTCAGGGGAGTGGGGTAAACAACAGCTTCAATGCACTTTTGTTAATATATATGCGCCGTGCGATAGGCAAAGCAGAGTTGTGTTGTGGGGGGAATTAAGCAGATTAGTATTTGATGAGGGTGGGATATGGCTTTTGGCAGGGGATTTCAATGCTGTTCATAATAGTGCGGAGAGGAAAGGAAGGGTGGGTGAGACTCAAGACATGGAACAATTTAATCTTTTTGTGCAAGGGACGGGACTGGTAAATCTTCGGTTGAGGAATAGAAAGTTTACATGGTATAGACCGGATGGAACTTCTATGAGTAGACTTGACAGGTTCTTGCTATCCATTGAAATGAGTTTAATGGAGGGAGATTGGAATCAAGAAGGCATACGAAGGTCAATCTCAGATTACTGTGCAATTATTTTGAAACCAAGAAGTGTTGATTGGGGTCCCAAGCCCTTTCAAGTACTCGATGTAAGGCAACAACATAATGATTTTAGAAAGTTTATAGATGAAAGATGGAAAACGATGCAGATTGAAAGATGGGCGGCCTACAAGTGCAAGCAGAAGTTGAATTGTTAAAAGAGGAATGCAAAAGGTGGAATGACAAGGTGTTTGGCAATGTGGAGGTCTAATCTGACAACTTGAGAAATGAGATTGAGAGGCTGGATAAAAAATGTGAAGCGAAAGGGTTGAATGAGACCGAGGTGAAGCGGCGAAGGAAGGCTTTTCAAGAGCTGTGGGATACATTAAAGCAACGGGAATCAGTATGGAAATAGAAATCAAGGGCTAATTGGGCTAGTCTTGGAGATGCAAATACAGCATTCTTTCATAGGAGTGTGCATGCTCGGAGGGCTCAAAATAAAATTTCAAGTATCTACGACGATAATGGGTGGGTTAAGGAACCTGAGTTTGTTAAGGCGGCGACAGTGAAGTACTTCACCAAGGTATTTCATAATGAACAATGGCGTCGATCGACGATGGATGGGATTCCATTCTGGAGAACTTCAGAGGCACAACGAGAATGGCTAGAATGACCTTTCACCATAGAGGAAATTGAAGAGGGGCTAAATGATTGTGATGGCTCCAAGGCTCCAGGACCAGATGGTTTTAATTTTAACTTTATAAAGTTTGCTTGGAGTACCGTGAAGGAAGACTTTGTGAATTTTTTGATGGAATTTCACCGTAATGGGAGGTTAGTTAACGGTTTAAATTCTTCATTTCTGGCATTAATACCTAAAAAATTGAATCTGGAGCAATTTAAGGAGTATAGGCCTATTAGCCTGATAAGTTGTCTATATAAATTACTAGCCAAGGTATTGGCCAATCGGTTGAAAATGGTTATGGAGGGTATTATCAATGAGTCACAGGCAGCTTTTATTTGAGGTCGGCAACTGGTCAACAGTGTGTTAGTTCTGAATGAGGTTGTGCATGAGGTGAAATGGAGGAAGCAAGAGAGTTTCATTTTAAAGGCGGACTTTGAGAAAGCCTACGACTGTGTGGACTGGGGCTTTCTTGATTGGATGATGAATAGAATGGGGTTTGGGGTGAAGTGGAGGAAATGGATGTGGGAGTGTTTTTCAATTGCTAGAATTTCCATTTTAATAAATGGAAGTCCGATGACTGAGTTTCCAGTTAGCAATGGTCTTCGCCAAGGTGATCCTCTGTCACCTTTTTTTGTTTTTGTTAGTTGTGGAAGGTTTGAGTGGGCTTGTCAAAAAAGCGGAGGGTGAAGGACTCCTGAAGGGTGTCGAGATTGGAAGGGGAGGTATGGTGTTATCACTGTTACAGTTTGCGGATGACACGTTGTTTATGGGGAAGGCTAATGTTGATAATTTATGGGTTGTGAAGGCCATTTTGAATTGGTGTCAATTGATCTCAGGGTTGAAGATCAACTTTGGGAAAAGCTATTTATATGGCTTCAATTTGTCGGAAGGGTGGGTTAAAGGTGCAGCTGCTATTATGCGTTGTGGGGTGGGCAAAATGCCTTTTACTTATCTTGGCTTGCCAGTAGGAAGGAATTCAGGGAGAAGACAGTTTTGGAACCCAGTGCTGGACCGTTTCCGCCATAAGCTTGCCTCCTGGAAAAGCCCCTTACTGTCTTTTGGAGGTCGAATAACTTTAATCAACTCAGTACTCTCTGCTCTCCCTATATTTTATTTATTTTTATTTAAGATTCCTAAAAGTGTATTGTGTGAGATGATTAAAATTCAAGGAAGTTTTTTTTTCTGGGGGTTTTAATTTGGATAGGAAAATTGCATAGGTTAGTTGGGAGTACGTGTGTATGGATAAGGGGAGAGGAGTCTTAGGAGTCGCTGATTTGGAGAGGAGGAATTGTAGTTTGTTGGGAAAATGGTGGTATAGGCTAGGTGATGGTGTTGGTGGTTTATGGAAGCGGGTTCTTTGGGAGAAATATTATGGGGGTAGAAAGGAGGTTGATATTATGTCAGTTGTGACTTGGAACATTTCAGGTGTGTGGAAGGACATTATGGGTCTCGATAGAGGGTCGGAAAGGTTAGAAGTAATGTTAGGAAAATGTTTTAAGTGGAAAGTTGGGAATGGGAGTTGTGTAGATTTTTGGCATGATAAATGGGTGGGGGATAAACCATTGAGGAATTTATTCCCTCGGTTGTATGCACTAGCTAATATTAGGGAGGGACAGTTAAAGGATATGGGGTTTTGGAGTGCTGAAAATTGGATATGGGATTGTAGGTGGAGGTGAAATTGTGTAGGGAGGGGAGTGGGGGAGGAAGAACAGTTTAGGGAGTTAATTAATAAGGTTAGGTTGCATAGGGGAGAGGCTGATTCTTGGAGCTGGATACATAGTGCTGATGGTGTATATTCGGCTAAGAAGGCTTATGACTTTTTATCACCAAAATGTTTTATTTTGGATGAGAAATGGTCTAGGGTTCTTTGGGTTAAGTATGTTCCTTCCAAATTGAGTAATTTTGGGTGGAGATTATATTTGAACAGGTTAGCTACAAAGGATAACTTGTGTCGGAGAGAGGTTGTTGTACTAGGGGGGAACATTTGTTGTGGGCTTTGCCATGAGGGTGTCGAGCAACTCCAGCATATTTTTTGTGATTGTAAAGCAGTTTGGTTGGTTTGGATGAAGGTTTTGGGTTGGTGGGGGGTACAGAGTGCTCTGCCAAAAGATGTCTTCAGATTGGCGGATGTTGTGATGGCTGGAATCAACGGGGGGTGCTGGACGGAGTTAGGGACTCTTGTTTTTTTGGTTACTGCTTGGTATGTTTGGTTTTGGAGAAATTTGAAAGTGTTTGGGGCAGGTGAAAGGTTCGAAGAGCGAATATTGGATTCTATTCAGTCTAAATCTTTTTTTTTTTTTGGCTAAAAAGCAAGGAACAAGGCTGCAGTTTTTCCTATACAGATTGGATTTTACGACTGTCGGAGTGCAAGAGGACCATAGTTCAACATGGCAAGAATTTAAGGAAATATAAAAAGATGTATCAAGTGCTGAACCAAGGGGAATTATGAGGATAGAGCTCAATTTCAGTGTGTTGTGTGTGTGCTATTGAAAGATTCGTTGGGGATGGGTAATGTGATTCCTCGCAGGCATTGCTGCAAGGGGCGTCTAATGGCCTAATTTGTTATCTTCTTATTGGGTGTTTTTTAGGTCTTATACTATATGACATGTTAGCTAGGGAGTTTTGTTGGTTTAATTTCTCTTTTAATTTTGTAAGTGGGCAGGAGTACCCCTTGTACTCCATTTAATAAATTTCTTTTTGCTGATAAAAAAAAATATTGTTGCTCAATTGGAATATGCAAGTGTAATAGGGAGTTTAATGTATGCCAAGCATTGTACTAGGCTAGATATAGCCTTTGCAGTATGCAAATTATCAAGATACACAAGTAAACCAAGCCACGAACATTGGAAAGCTATTAGAAGAAGTCTTGGTTACCTTAAAAAGATAAAAGAGCTTGGTTTGATTTACTCAGATTATCCAGTGGTCCTAGAAGGATACACTGATGCAAGTTGGATGATTAGTAAAAGTGATAACAAATCTACTTCAGGTTGGATCTTTACACTTTGAGGAGGTGTAATAAGTTGGGCATCAAAGAAACAAACATGCATCTCACATTCTACAAAGGAATCTAAGTTTATTGCTTTGGCAGTAGCAGGCAAGGAAGCAGAATGATTGACAAATTTGTTGCTTGATATAAAGTTGTGGCCACAACCTATGCTAGTCCTTTCCTTGCACTGTGATAGTGAGGCTACAATGTCTAGAGCATATCGCAATATTTATAACGGGAAATCTAGACATATTAGTCTTAGACATACTTATATTTGAGAGTTGATCACTAGTGGAGTTATAACAATAATCTATGTAAAGTCTGCAAACAATCTAGCTGATCCTTTCACAAAAGCATTACCACGAGATGTGGTGGAAAGGATGTCATTAGGAGTGGGGCTTAAATATTTAAATTAGGCATTGGTAATGGGAACCCAACTTTTGTTTAGTCATTTCTAAATTTAAAGTTTAATGGGTAAGAAACAAGTTACTATATATACTTGTTTAACACTTGAAACCTATTCCTTCTTTAGTCAAGTGCTGTCTATTGTGTTTTGGAGGATGAGTGTAAACTCTTAATGGAGTTGATCACTTTTAAGTGTCTATAGCAACAGGGACATAAAGAACTCCACCTATATGGTCATAGAAGTGGTGTCGCTTCAACAAGAAGACGTTGGATTCTCTTGTTAATGACCACTATTAGCAGGATGAGCACATGACCATAATAGTGCTAGAAGGTTTTAAACCTTTTGGATTAGATAGACAAGTCTTATGTGTGTTACACACTTATGTCTAATATAAGTAGTTATGGTTTAATCCTTGGACACCAATAACTTCATTAGATATGAAGTATGTACACTGATGAAAGGTTTAAATCGAGAAATACCTTTTTTAAGCATATTTCTTGTCAAGTACAACTGAATTAACATTTTCAAACTAGTGGGGGAATGTTGAATAGTTTGTAAATATTTAAGATCCCACATCAAGAAAGTATGAGAACTTAAAGGAGTTTATAAAGACATATTCTTTATCAATAAATAATTTAGTAAAGTGAAACCTAAGGTAAATTGGGTCTTGTCCCTTTATATATAGTCAAAAGATGAGCACCTTGGGGCTTGACTGCCAGAATATCATTGATTTTATATTATTTTTGAATTTTTTATTTTATTTTATTAAATAAAAATTTGGAGAGACATGTTTGAAAATCAAACATAATTATTGGCAATCAAAAGCACTTCTATAAAATTATGTCTTTCTAGAGGGATACATCTCTACAAATAGTGACTTTTCAGGCATTATAAATTTCTATGCAAAGTTAGAGTTCTACATCTAATTCTGAAAGAGTTTTGTGTTTTGTTGTATCTTGGAGGATTTTAAATCCTTAAAAAAAGTGAGATCACGCATCAGAACAATTATTTTATTCTTCTACCATTTCATATTTTCTAACATAAGGACTGTCTAATTTTTTGGTTTGGTTTTGCTTGTGAACTGTATCTTTAAATGAGTAAAAGTGCCCCTTATACTCTATAATAAAATCTGTCTTTTGCTAATAAAAAAAAAATGCCAGTTCTTGAATCAGGAATAAAACTTGTGATGGCTAGCATGGGTGTGTCCATCTCCTTTGTTAATCGAAAAAGGTTCTTCATCATGTAATATTTTAGAATAGCAATAGTACATATTAAAATGATACTAACAACAATATTAAAAAACCCCTCCAATGGAAAATAGTATATATTTTAATTACAACCCAAAATCAAATATCGGTACAAGCACGAGCACAAGGAGGAATCTCTCTAACGGAAGTAGGGCACAAATGATATCTTAACTTTTCAACCGCAAATTTTCTAGCTAGGCAAGCCTGGTGGTGACAATCATTCACGTATATGGATCATTACTGTGTGTTGCTCATTCTCACAATTCCCTCAATCTTGTCAACCATCATGTATTTAAATCTAAACTGTGGCCACCCTCACTCACTCCTTTGCATACTAGAGTCAAATCCAACTGAGAAAAATGTAGATTCTACCTAACTTCTGAGCTGGTATTAATTGGTCTTTGATCACTTGCCCAGATGACAGATAGAGGGACTAATCATTGCTTCAAACTTTCGTAAGGGGTGGAGATGCAGAAAGATGAGGATTAAATAGTTGCGACTGGATCCCTGACAAACGACCAATTGATGGCTGACTAGGGGGCTGCAGTCTTTGCCTCTCTGCCTAAAGAGAGGTAAGCGATTAGTCCATTATACATGCCAGCTAAGAAAAAATTGTAATAATTTATCCTTCAACAACCATATCTATATCACTATATGACTTCTCCCCTTGTGGCTACTTCTTCCCATCTACTACAAGACAGCTGCTGGTTCTTTTGTGAAACTTAGCTTCATTGTCAGTTCTTGAATGAGGAATCAATAGATATTTTTTTTTCTTTGAAAGGCAAGGGAATCAATAGAATGTTAATCCAGTCCTTAAAATTTGGTCTTAAATGGGTATTTATAAAGATTAAAAAAACCCTACTAAAAGAAGTGAAACTCACGTTAAAAATAGAAACTTTCAAATAAAACTATTGAAAATTACTTAGGAAACATATAAACAGAATGCAACATGTAAATAGCTTTCTATCAGAATCAACCAAGTGTCGACGCTTCTGCTTTGAATTTCACCCAACACCTACCAAGGTAGTGTTGCTGGCCGCCAAGGTGACGTCGACTTGCAATTTTTTGAAAGATAAAATAGCACACCTAGTTCCTTAGCTTCTACTTATGAAAACTTCGATCCTAAAACTTTAAATTTATTCATTTAGTTCCTAATTGACACTTTTCTTTTGTTAAACCCTAAATTTGGTTTCTCAAATATTAGCACAAACCCCTAATTTAGTCGCCAAATTTAAAAAATTCTTGATTTGTTTAGTTCCTCAACTATTGTACAAACTCTTGACTTAGTTCCCAAACTTAAAAAATTCTTGATTTAGTCTCTGAAATTTGAAAATTTCACTACTTTTGGTCCCTTTATTAATTTTTTGCTAATTTGGCATGATGGTTAATGGATGCCCTTTTTATTTCATTAGTAGAAAATAAAAAAGATGATGTGGTATTAGCTATAAAGTGATGACATAGATTAAAGAATACTATTTACATCATTTTATATGTAAATTAGCTATTTTAATTTATCTTTAACTAAGATTAAAAAGTAAAATAAAATTCTTCCATCTTCATGTCCGAAGAACCAAATCTGGCTCATCTTCTCCTCTCCTCTCCACCCCTCCTCTCTCTTCCTCTACTTGAACCAAGCTCTCTCTTTCTTCTCCTCTCCTCATTTCCACTTGGGACAAAACTAGATCTAGGTAAAGGTTTAGCAAGGGTTCGAGGGTTGAGTAACTCATGAGGGTTGCGCCAAAGCCACCAAAGTTGAGCGAGCAACCAGATCTAGAAATCAAACTTAGTAGATGGGTTGGAACCCATTGTGCTTCAAACCTAGCATGTGCTAGGTTTAATCCCAACAAGCCTAGGTTCGATTAAACCTAGTGCTTACTAGGTTTGAACCCAAGTTGGGTTTGCAAGGAACTTAAAAGGCATGGGTTTGAACCTAAATCTGGTATCTATTGAGTCCATCTAATGGGTTTAGGTATTTTGTGGTTTTTGTGGATTGTGATTTTGTTGTTTGGAGATGATGTGGCAATTTTTCTAGAATTCAAGTGATACTTTGCCCCCATTGGAAGGAGGAGGAAAATGTGAGAACTTGTATTGAGCTAATTTTTACTAGAATGCTAATAAGGATACTGTCAAAACAATTTAATAAATATTTTTATTTAAAAATTATTGGTTATTTATGAAGTATTTTTTTAAAAAAATTTATTGCATATTTACGTGAGATTTTTAAGGAGAATATAGTTAAGATTAGATAAAAATAATATTGAGATAAGAATTAAATTAAAAAATAAAAATTAATTTGAGACACAAAGGAGGGAGTAAATAAGCATACAAATTAATTTTGTTTCCCAAATTAATTTTTACAGGCTCACAACAAAAAGTTGCAAACATAGAACCTTCTCATATTAGATATAATATTATCACCTGCAATCCCAAAGACTCTCCAGATACGCGTAAAACTACGATTATTCATATCTGATCCTGATCCAAACTAATTAATTTAACCAAAACTGACTCAATCTAATTAAAATTCAATCCAAACCAACATCAATTTGGGTTCTACCGGATTAAAGGCAGGACCACTGGATACTCTTAATTTTTATGATTGGATTTGTGAACCGGCTTTGTGTTTGAAAGGGAAAAGTAACAAAGTAATCTGGGCTTGGGCTTGGGCTTGGGCTTGAAATGGGTGGCCATTTGGTTTGGGATTCCTGATATGCATAAAGAAGGTACCATTAATTTATGTTTCTTGTCATGTAATTGAAAGGTGATGGTGGGACGTTAAGCTGAATATTTGGATGAACAGGAAGTATAATTAATTTGGTTATTAGCGGGAGTACTTCTTGTACCGCTTTTCAATTTTTAAATGTTCAATTTGTCTTGTTATAAAATAATTTAATTAAATAATATAATATTTTTATTTTTATATTATTTTGGTAAATATATTTTTAGATTTTTTGGTAAAATGAAAATATAATAAATTTTTAGAATTTTTA